TGCCCTCGACTTTCCTTCCTTTCCTTACCCATGCGTTGAGGCGGCGCGTGGGCTTCCTCTTAGCCTCCCGGGTGTTTGTGCCGTGCCCGGCGACCCGTAAGCTGGCCAATGGAATCCTGGTGGTTGAGCCCTACCAGTCAGGGGGGCAACACGCCACTTTGGTCCGGCGGTCAGTCTAGAAGGGCGGCCACGCCTAGCCCAGCGTTGGTCAATCGGCTGTGCCATCCCGTCAGAGGGCTGGCTGGGCGAGCCTCCACAGGTAGTAGAAGCCAGACGAGGATGGTTTGCTATCCTCGATGTATGGTGGAGCTATCTGTGGGGACTATACTTCCTTTGTTTCGACATTCACGGTATCCCTGGGGTTGTGTTCTAGCGGAAGGCGACAATGAGCACAATCTCCCGTTGAGGCTCCATGGAGGGTGGGGAGCCGAGGAAGTGAAGATCAGCATTTCGCATGGCAAACAAAACAAAAACCAAGGGTGTGCCTGCCCCCCTAAATGTAGGCAACGATGGCGAAGGTGGAGCTACATGTAGAGCTTCCACTGGACCGAACAATAATGTCAAGGAGACGGATGGGCCCGTCCCCCGGTTCCTTGTCATCAAGAGAGTTGATAATGATAATTTTGCAACAGTTAGTCCATTCCTTATTTCTAAGACCATAAATGGTATAATAGGAGACCCTAACTCTGTTAAAAAGATTAAAGCTGGCATATTGGTGGAAACAAAAACAGATGCCCAGTCTCACAGACTCATAAGAATACAGCATTTTACAGATATTCCTGTCACAGTAGAAGCCCACCCAACGCTAAATTCTAGCAAAGGGGTCGTGTACTGCAAAGACCTCTTAAATTGCCCTGAAAGTGAAATTCTCGAGGAACTGAAATCAGAAGGAGTAATACATGTACAGAGAATTAGAGTCAAGAGGGACAATGAACTGCGTGATACACCAAATCACATAATCACATTCAACTCCCCCAGATTACCATCGAAACTTAAATGCGCTATGTATAAACTTGATGTTCGGCAGTATATTCCCCCACCAGTACGCTGCTTTAGATGCCAACGGTACGGCCATACGTCATTGTCTTGCCAAAATGAACAGGTATGCATATGTGGAAAGGAGTTACACATGGGAAGACCATGTGATCGCCCGGTACAGTGCCTAAATTGTCACGGGCCTCACGTGGCTTCATCGAAGGAATGCCCAAGATACAAAACAGAATTGGCTATTCAGAAACTGATCGCTACTGACAAAATAAGTTATATTGAGGCCAAGAAAAAGGTGGTGGTGCATACTCCACAACCAAACGTGTCGTATGCACAAGCCACGCAAAAGAGCCAGGATGATGATATTATCGAAAAGATCATCCCACGTCTGACTAATATCATCCAATCTTCGATTTCTCAAGCACTGAAAGGCAAAGATTCCATGAAATTGAGCAACCTCAATTCGTTACACCT